GGAAGCCCACCTATATTGTAATTGTTTATACATGTGTCATTTTTCCTAGATCGGTAACTCTCCATCTTGAGCATGCGTCAGAATAACTGCAGAGTTTGCTAAAACACAGATTGCTGGGCCCTTCCCCTTGAGTTTCTGAGTTAGAGCATCTAGAACTTACATTTCTAACAGATTCCCAGATTATGCTGGTGTTGCTGATCTGGGGACTGCTCTTTGAGAGACACTAGTCTAGACTGAAAACTCCCAGGGGCAGGGATGACACCGGGTGGCCATAAAGTCTGCAAACATAGACAATATTGTTTTATTATGTATTTTATTTATTTATTTATTTTTTTTTGTCTTTTGTCTTTTTTCCGTGTCCGGCAACGGATCGCAACCCTCAGTGTTGCCCCCGTACCGGACCGGGGACCGGCAACGGGATTGCAAACCTCGGTGTTGCTCCCGCGCCTCGCTCAGCCAGTGAGCGGGAGCCGGTCTGTATGTGGGATCCGAACCCTCGGACGGGAGCGCCAGCCGCGCTTCCCAAGCGGCGCACTATCCAGTGCGCCACCGGGCCGGCCCTCTATCAGAGTCTTGACAGGAGCAAATAGAACAATTAAATTGGGAACATTCAGGAGGGCTCAATAAAGAGGCTAATGGCAAGGTATGGGCACAGAATAGAGAAACCACAAGAAGATGGGGCAGTGCCACAGGCATTGGGGGGACTGGGTGAGCTGTTACCACACTTAGGCCTAGAGGAGCCAGGGGCTGGTGGTGATAGTGACTCCGCAGGGAGGGAAATGGACACAAAAGTTCCCCACTCGCTCTCTCGTCTCTCCCTCCAATCTCCTGCCACTGCTTCCCCTGTGCTTCACCCCCTCAACCTACTATGACCAGGGATCCTGCCTCTGCAGACCACAGCTCAGGGTCCAGGCACACAGAGCAGCGAGGAGAAGGGGAGGTGGGTCTGAGCGGGGCCGACTGGAGCTGTCCAGCTTGGCCTGCACAGCACTGGCTGAGTGGCTTCTGTAGCTTGGAATGTGAGTTTCATAAAATTACTATTACCGTTGCCATTTTTTATACCTAGCTTCTTTGAGATGATGATGGGAAGTGTCTTTAATATACACTCTATTCTCATCGTTCCTAAAGAGAAACTGGGGAATGGCGGGGCTGCCTCAACCGCTAGACTGTCGTGTCTCATCTCATTCCATCTCTGGGATGTTGATAAACCCCCATGGGGCCAAAAATTAGACCTATCTTGTAGTGGGTATTCAATAAACGTTTTTCTTTTTTTTTAAACTTCAAAAAAAATTTTTAATTAATTTATTTTGAATTGAAACATAATTGATTGTACCTATCTGTGGGGTACAGTACTGAATATCAATACCTGTGCAATACATGATGCTCAAATCAGGATAATTACTGTATTTATCATTACACAGTGTGATCACCTTTTGTGGCCCTCTACCAATCAACAAACGTTGATATGAACAAATGCACATTCTGGGCCCTTTGCTGTTGGATTTGACAAAAATAATGTCTGAAATTTCCCATTTCTCTGATTCACCAAACAGTGAAATGCAGATAGTGTGCTAGATGTTTTCATGCATATGACGTGATTTATATAATCCTTACTGCAAACTTATTGGTAGGTAATATAACATCCTCCACTTTGTAGATTTTTAAAAATCAAGCTCAGCCCCCTAAGTGCATACGTTGAGTCAGTGACAGGGCTGGATGCACTCCCACATCTGGTGTGAGCTCCGAGACCCGTGATCTTCCCCACCCAGCACAGTTACAACTCCTGATCTGAACAGACCTCTGTGTTGAGCACGGGATTCTTCTCCCTCACCTCTGTCTCCCTCTGTTCGCTCTGGAACAGAACCACAAAGAAAGGAGCCAAGGCAGGGATGAAGTGCAGAGGGCTGCAATGGAGCAAAAGGTGGTGGAGGAAGAGCATGGCTGGGGGAGGCCGGACACCACCTTGCTGATGAGGGCAGGGGCTCCCCGGCCATCGCGACTCAGTGGAGCTTGGCGGGCTAGAGCTGTTTGGTGGATTGTAGTCTGTTGTCTTTTGCATTAAACTAATTGGCTGCAAATATCTAAACCAGAGCGACACTCACTGTTTTGCAATAATTTGGTTAAAACACATTTCTACTAAAGTGCAGTCAACAAGAAAAACAACAACAAAATTAACTATCATCAACCTGCACCTTTCTAGCTCCCATCATCATGCTATGACTGGGATGGTCGTGGTTAGGTGGGGGCAGGAAAAAGGGACACGAGAGGTCAGAGTCCATGGGCTTTGTGTCGTGACCCAGCCTGGACTGTTGGTGATCCGGCCTTATGGGATGGGGAGCGACCACAAGCCTGCGGTCTCTGGAGGGTAGAAATGGGAACACCCCTAAGGGACTTTATGGCGGATATTACACAAACAGGAAGAAAAGTAAAAAAGTACAAGTAGGCATGTTGGTTAAGCAGAAAGAGCCCAGACTTAAAGTCAAGGGAACAGAGTTACGGGGCTCCTTGATCCCACGTGCCTAGATATACTAGTTTAAGTGATCCTGGGTAAGGTAGTCAACCTCTCCATACCTCAATTTTGCCCCCTTTTTTAAAAAGCAGTTTATTTTTGCCTTGCTAACCACCTTGAGAAAATTGAGATGAGCTGTTGTGCTCTTTAAATAAAGTTCCTATGTAAATAGCACAAGCTGAGGTGATTCCCCTCCATGCAGAGGCTGACGCCAACAGTGAGTATAAATCTGGGCCAGAACCAAAAATGTCAGTGTTACCTGTAGAATAGACAAGTTTTCTCTACAAGCCCAGGGTAGCCTCGAGAAACTCTAATCTCATCACATGGTTTTCAGAATTTTTTTGTTTTCATTATCTCATTTGATCTTCAGAGCCGTTTACTTCTTTGTTCAACAAACATTAATTGAGCATGAACAGATTTTCAGGGACTGTCCTAAACACTGGCGTTAGCACTGTTAACAGGACCTTTCTCTGCCCTTGCTCCCATCTGATGAGGTCAGGAACCTGAATGGTGGTTGGATGTTTCATAAATCAGTGGGCAGAGAATTTTTGTCCCAGAATTGACCATAACCAGAGTCTATATCTGATTTAGATTATATAGATGGTAAGATTTGGAACTTTTTTTTTGTCTTTTTTTTTCCATGTCCGGCAACGGATCGCAACCCTCAGTGTCGCCCCCGCACCAGAC